TTAATTTACTTAGGATATTACCTGAACCTAAATATGCATTGACTATTCATTGTTCCACAGATTAACTTTGAGAAGATATTTTTTCCAATACAAGAAATGCCCCCATTCTTCATCCGCAGGTTGTGCAAAGACTTATTCTTTGCTCTTCTTGTATCATTTCTGACACAAGCCTGTCCTTCACATCATAGGAGTTGGTACTTTCCATCCAGATACCTGCCTGTAGCTTGTCTCTTTTTTTTTTTTTAAATATATTTTATTGATTTTTTTACAGAGAGGAAGGGAGAGAGATAGAGAGTCAGAAACATCGATGAGAGAGAAACATCCATCAGCTGCCTCCTGCACATCTCCCACTGGGGATGTGTCCGCAACCCAGGTACATGCCCTTGACCGGAATCGAACCCGGGACCCTTCAGTCCGCAGGCCGACGCTCTATCCACTGAGCCAAACCGGTTTCGGCTGTAGCTTGTCTCTTGCACTATGTATGTCCCCACTGATCCAGGCACCCTGTCCTGGAGCTTGTCTTCCAATACTGAGGATCATGAATACCAAAGTCCCAAAACTTTGGCCAGCACCAAAACAATATTTTTTAAGTTATTTTATAGTAATTTCAGTCTTACTCAAAGGTGCTTGAATAGTACAGACATTTTCTGATAATCTTTATTGATATTTGCTTTGCTTTATCTTTCTCTCTTCTTCCTTCTCTCTCCTTTGCTCTTCCTCCTATTTTTCCTGAATACCCTAATAGCAATTTGTAAACATGATGCCTTTTACCATAAATACATTGGTGTGTTTTCAAAACAAGGACATTTCTTAACCACAATAAATTGTCTTTCCTAGCTACTATTATTAAAATCTTACATAAACTTAGAACAATTATTAATCCTAATACAAGATTAATATCTAATCTTTAGATTTTATATCCAATAACATCTTTTATGGGAAAAGAAAACATTTTTGTCCTGATTCAGAATCCTGTCCAGGACTACTTGTTTACATTTATTTGTTGTCTATCACATTAAAAAAAATACATTTTATTAATTTCATGGATGGGAGAGAGAGAGAGAGAGAGAGAGAGATCAATGATGAGAGAGAATCATTAATTGGCTGCTTCCTACATGCCCTCCACTGGGGATCAAGCCTCAAACTCGTGCCAACACTGATGGGTTCTTGGGCTGTGTGTGTGTTTGTGTGTGTGTGTGTATTTGATATATATATTAGTATATATGTAATTTTAGGGTTCATTGTACCTCAGGACCTGATTCCTTCCCTATAGAAAAGTTATTACTGATGAATTTTACAAGTTCTCTTCTGCATAGAATAAAAAACTTTTATACAGATTTACTGCTTTTCCAAATTGGTGCTCAAACTAGGCTCTTCTGAAACTGTTTTTTAATTATGAGCAACTTTTCAAACTTGAGAGCATTATTGATTTATTTATCTCTCCAAATCTGATTGCAGTAATATTTGCCCCCCTGATATTTGCTTTTGGTGTTTATATCTTTAGAAATTAATAAGAAGGAGATAAGATTAGACCTCACAATAATATCGACCCAGAACTCTCTTATTCAAATAACTCGAGGCCGGGTGCACGAGATTCCTACACTGGGTGGGGGTTGGGGGGGTTGTTCCCAGTAGTCCAGGAGCCCCCATATGCAACCGACAGTTTAGGACATCCAGCAGGGAATGGTCCTAAGCAGGCCATCGGACATCCTTATTGCTGCTGCAGAGGCGGGGTTTCCACCACTGGCAGCTGTGCTCACCAGTCTTGAGCCCTGCTTCTGGGCTTCTGGCTGAGCTGTGCTCCCCCTGTGGTAGCTCACTGACCATCAAGGGGCAACTCCTGCATTGAGCGTCTGCCCCCTGGTTGTCAGTGTGTGTCATGGGTGACCAGTCGTTTTGCTGTTCAGTGGATTTGCACATTACCCTTTTATTATATAAGCTTTTATTTTTAAAATATATTTTATTGATTTTTTACAGAGAGGAAGGGTGAGGGGGATAGAGTTAGAAACATAGATGAGAGAGAAACATTGATCACCTGTCTCCAAGGTACATGCCCTTGACCGGAATCAAACCTGGGACCCTTCAGTCCACAGGCCGGCGCTCTATCCACTGAACCCAACCGGTTAGGGCTATTATGTAAGATTTTAAAGATCAAGTGAAAAATCCCAGATGAATGTTTTAAACATGGGTCAAAATGTGGAAATATTAAGAGTGATCGCAATACAGTGGATTTTTAAATAGATTTTAATCAGAAAGTGAAGTTATCACTTTTACATACGTTCACATTGTTTTGAAGGAGATCTCCAGAACTTTTTTCTTGCAAAAATGAAACTCTATACCCATTAAATAACTCCTCGTTTCCCATTACCCCAGCTCCTGATAACCAACATTACAATTTTCATTTCTATTTGATTGACTACTTTAGATAAGTCATATAAGTGGAATCATATAGTATTTGTCTTTTTGCAACTGACCTATTTCTCTGATTCTAAGTATCATTTCCTAAAGTTTCATCCACGTTTTAGTATTTGAAAGGATTTCCTTTTTAAGTCTGAATAATATCCCATTTTGTGTATATACAAATTTTTTTTGGTTTATCCATTCATTTATTAATGGACATTTGGGCTTCTTCCACTGTGAATATGGATATGGAATCATCGGTTCAAGACCCTGCTATATTAATTCTTTTGTATATATACCCAGCACTCTATTTGTGGTTTGTTCTTTTAGCAACTTCCACAATTTCTATAGTGGTTTGCTCCATTTTATAAACCCACCAACATATGTAGTGTTTTTAAATCATTTTTACTTTGCTAATAATCTTAACTATATTTTCTTAAGCTCATCATCTGTTTGGATATTCTATTCTGTTTTGCCTATTTAATGGTGTTTCTATTACTCATTTGCAGAAGTTCTTTATTTTGGATAAGAATATTTTATCAATTATATATATAACATAAATATTTCTCTCACTGTATTGCTTGCTTGCCTTGTCTTTTGCCTGTTAATGTTCTCAATGAAGATATGTTCTTAATTTTAAAATAATCTAGCTTAACTTTTTCCTTTGTAACAATAAATTTGGTGTTTTATTTTTAATGTTTTACCTGCTCCCAGATCATGAAGATATTTTCTTTTAAAAACTTCTTGCTTTGTCTTTCATTTTTTAGATCTACAATATAACTCAAGTTACATATGTGAAGTAAGGGTCAAGATTCATTTTCTTCTATATGGATATCTACACAGTACTGTTCATTGAAAAGACTTTTTGCATTGTCACATTTGTCCTAAGTCAGGTGATCATTTTTATACTGATCTCCTGAACTCACTATTCTATTCCATTAATCTCTTTATCTGCCATTGTACTAATTTGAAACTAACTCAATTACCATAGTTTTGCAATAGATCTTGATTTCTCTGCCTTTTCTTGGCTCTTATTGTTCCTTTGCATTTTTATAGAAACAAGTTTGTCAATTTTCACCCAAAACAAAACCAGCTGATAGGATTGTGATTGGGATTGCATCAAATCAAAAAATCAATTTGGGGAAAATTGACATTAATAGTGACTAATCCATCAACATGGTATCTCTCTCCATTTATTTAGGTCATCTTTAATGTATTTACAGTTGTCAGAGGTCTTTTGCTTAATTTTGATTGCTCTGAAAAAACACCAGGCTGGATAGATTATACAGAACAGAAATTTATTGGAAGTCTGAGATAAGGGAGCCAGCACGGTTGGTTGAGGACTCTCTTCTCTTTGTGTCTTAACATGATTGAAAGAGCTCAGAAGTTCCATGGGGTCTCTTTTTATACACTAATCCCATTCATGCAGGCTTTCTGTCTATGACCTAATCACCTTCCAAAGGTCCCTCCTCCTAGTACAACCACATTGGAATTTAGGATTTAATATGTGAATTTTGGAAAAACCCAATTATCCATGTCCTAGTAAGACTTCAGCGATTTATTGAACCTGTATCTGAATTTTGAGACTCATTCTTTATTTTCTATTGCTCATTGAAGGAAATTTATAAAAAAAAAAATCTGGTAAAGACAAATACCATGAATAAATAACATTTTAGCATTTTCCATACGAAGAACGGATCAATAGAACTCTGTTGTAGTCTTGACAACTTGAAAGTTATCTGGTATCATTTCGTTTGACACCTTATATATAATTTTGTACTTTTTGAAAGCAAATGTATTCTTATTTGGCTATACAGGACATATAAACATAAAAAAAACATTTTAATATAAATAATAGGGTTTAGGGGGAAGGGTTCTAAAGCCAGCTCTCCTCAAGGGATGCCTTGGTAGCAATGATTGTTAACCATCTGGAGACAGAAAAATGTGATTGTGTAAATAACATCTTAATACCCTATGGGTATAATATAATGTAAGCTAAATGGATAAATACTCAAAAATGATTGTTGTGGTTTACATTCACCATGGCAGCTGGACACTCTAATCTTATGATAAAATAGGTGTGATAAACCCTGATGACAATGTGGAGAAAAATCACAGGAATTGCAGGAACATTGCTTTCTATGTTCATTATTCTATTTAGTCAACCATCCGCTCAAGGAAAAGATCCATAACTTCCTTCAGATGGTAAATTTGATGACTCAAGTTTATTGTTAATGTTAGCAATCCTTGCTTATTTTCATCTAGCTAGATTTGTCCTGTTGTGACATTTGTGTAAGAGAAGTTAGTGAGGCTCTTCCCCACAGCATCCTCTGGTACCTCTTTTGCATAACTGTATCAACAGCGACAAAAACAGATGCTTGGGTCTACTTGTACAAATAATAACCACATACCACAGATTTCTTTTCTGTGAGTTATTTGGAGAAAGCTAGGATGACAACTGAAGGACCTCTAGGCGTCAACCCTTGGTGAAACAGTAATTTTAAAAGATAGAATGCACTACAGAGCTTCAAAAGCAATAGTCGCTGTGTTTAACTTTTGGTTTCTCGAGTTCCATCAGTGAATACGTTCTGCTTTTGCAGGTTTTAAGAAGAAGCAGCGAAGAAGAGAAGGTTCTTTGCTTGGTTCGGCAGCGTACAGGCCACCACTGTCCAACAGCAGTGACGGTGGTGCTGATCCTGGTATGGGATGGCATTCCCCTTCCCATGGCGGACAGACTGTATACGGAGCTTACCCAAAACCTGAGGACGTACAATGGGCATCCCACAGACCGAAGATGCACGCTCAATGAAAAGTAATCATATCTAGTTTGTACTGTCTTGACATTCAGGCTTCTATTATATAATGTTAAATTGTTAATTAATTACCAACTATATATATGGGGCAACAAGATTTTAGCTATTGTGTAACTAAAAACAGTGACCATTTCTTTAGAGAAAGACATAATTTCATAGGGAGTTAAGACCATTTTAGGATATCCTGCCTTAGAATATTCTTTTATTGATTCTTTCTTTTTAATCTTCAACCTTATTTGTGTCTCAATTTTGAATGGTATGTAAAGATATTTTTCTATCTCTCAAGATATAGAGTAATTCACCCATGTTTTCTTTTAGAATTTTTTGAAATCATAAATGATGAGAGAGAATCATTGATCAGTTACCTCCTACACAACACACACAAGGGATCAAGTGACCTCCTGGTTCATAGGTCAACACTCAACCATTGAGCCCCCCTGGCTGGCCTATAATATATTTTAGTATTTGGTAGGGTTAGCTGGCCACTCTTACTGTTTTTCAAGACTTGTCATTCTTTTTTCTCCCTTTGTGCTTTTAAACAAACTTCATAATCAACTTTGTAGTATTAAGGTAAATCTAATTATATTTTTAATGAGACTGCATTAAATTATAATAAATGGACATCTTTATGATAATGAATCTAGCTATCCCATAAATGGTCTTTTTTTTTGTTTTTTCACGTTTCCTTGTGTATCTTTCAGGAGAGTTTTATTTAGTTTTCCTCAAATAGGTCTCTTTTTAAGAAGAAATGTCATTATACAAAATATAATAAAAATATCATTCCTTCTAATTCTCACACAAGATTAATTAGTATACTTCCCAGAGCGTTCATTTATGCTTATATTTTCCTTTCATTATATTTTTCTTTTTCTTTTTTTTTTTAAATATATTTTATTGATTTTTTACAGAGAGGAAGGGAGAGAGATAGAGGGTTAGAAACATCGATGGGAGAGAAACATCGATCAGCCGCCTCCTGCACATCTCCCACTGGGGATGTGCCCGCAACCCAGGCACATGCCCCTGACCGGAATCGAACGTGGGACCCCCCAGTCCGCAGGCCAACACTCTATCCACTGAGCCAAACCGGTTTCGGCATATTTTTCTTTTTAATGGCCACAAGTTTGTGTACATCTTTTTTGTTGTTGTTAATCCTCACCTGAGGGTATTTTACCATTGGATTTGTTTTTTTTTTAGAGAGAGGGAAAGACAGAGAGAAACACTGATGTGAGAGAAACACATCTACTGGTTGCCTCCAGCAGGTGCCCTAATCAGGGTATAGGCTAGGGAGGACCCTGCAACCAAGGTAGGTGCCCTTGACTGTCATCGAACCCAGGACCCTTTGGTGCAGACCAATGCTCTATCCACTGAGTCAAACCAGCTAGGGCTGTACATAAGTTTTCATGTCTGCTAATTATTTTATATGGGTACACAATAATTTTTTATTTGAAGACACTGCTTTAAATGATACACATATATTGTCTTATTCAATCTTTTCAAGAATCCAATAGTTATATTTCACCCAATGTAGATCTAGCATTTTTTCAATAATTATTTTTATAGAAAATATGTAAGAATGCTTAAATGAATGCTTACCTAGATTACATCATTGTTACTGGTTTGTTATATTTGCATTTATACTCATAGGCACATAGATACACATATTTATGTATATACATATTTTTATTACTGATTTTTAAATATTTTCTTCTGTATTATTTGTGAAATACTTTCACACTTAAGACTTTTCCCCCTAAATAATACTTTACAAGTTACTAGTGTCCTGGTGCATGGATTTGTGTAAATTGAAAGGAAATTAATTAGAAGAAATATTTTAATAATCGCTATTCACCCTTTCTCTATAATAGAAGTATCAACCAAATTCTCAATCGACAATGACAGATCGAAACACACACGTGCAATTGGCACCAGCAAGGGCTTTATCTGTATCACTCATGTGCGAGTCAACTTAGCCTTATATATATATATATATATATAGAATCCTAAAGCATTCTTTTGCATAAACCCAGTACAATAATCAAAATCAGAAAATTTAACTTTGATTTAAACAATTAGTTAAAATTATGTAGTCTACAGTTCATATTCAAATATCTGTTTCTCAATAATAATCTTTATTGTAATTTCTCCCCACCCCAGATTGGGTGGATTAAGTTGTTTTTTATCTTTTGGTCGCTTAATCCTTTAATCTCACTTCTTTTTTTTTTAAAATATATTTTATTGATTTTTTACAGAGAGGAAGGGAGAGAGATAGAGAGTTAGAAACATTGGTGAGAGAAACATCAATCAGCTGCCTCCTGCACACCTCCTACTGGGGATGTGCCCGCAACCCAGGTACATGCCCTTGACCGGAATTGAACCCGGGACCCTTCAGTCTGCAGGCCGACGCTCTAGCCACTGAGCCAAACCGGTTCTGGCTAATCTCACTTCTTTATGTTACATGACATTGACATTTTTTAAAGGAATGGGTTAATTTTGTACAGTGTTGCTCAGTTTTGTCTTGTCTGATTGTTTTTGCCCGATTCAATTCAGTTCAGGAATTACTGGCATACTATACTCAATCCATAAAATTAGGACTTATGAGTCCATTTATTCCATTTCAGAGATGTTGACTGTTTAAGGTATTCTTTGGAAGCTCTAAGTGACTTCACATACAATATATATGATTGTTTTCAGGCCTCAAAGAATTATATCAATGTGTTTTATAGATGGAGGAAGTAATGTCCAAAGTGGTCATGAAATGCTATAGTTTTCATTTCTGATAGGGATCAGATCTGGGATGTAAATCCAGGCCCTTTATATTCCATTCTCAGACCATCTTCAAATCAAACAGGTTATGAGTGTTTTAGATCTGTATAGTTTATTAGAGTTTATTTAGATTTGCAGTCTTGAACATTTTATTTAAAATTTTATTTAATATTTAAAAATCCTATATAATAAAAGGTTAATTTGAAAATCAATTGAACAGCAGAACGACTGGTCGCTATGATGCGTAATGACCACCAGGAGGCAGAAGGTCAACACAGGAGCTCGCTCCCTGGCAGTCAGTGCACTCCCACAGGGGGAGTGCTGCTCATCCAGAAGTCGGGCTCAAGGCTGATGAGCGCAGCAGCCAGTGGCCAGTAGCGGAAGCCTCTCCTGCATCTGCGGTAGCACTAAGGACTCCTCGGGGAATGTCCAACTGCTGGCTTAGATCCGCTTCCCCGAGGGGTCCCGGCCTGCAAAAGGGCTCAGGCTGGGCTGAGGGAACACCCTCCTAGCCCCCGCCCCTTCAGTGCATGAATGTCGTGCACTGGGCCTCTAGTTAGCTTAATTATATTCACATATATAGTTCACATTGTGTTATTAACAGTAGTTAGATATAATAATAAAATATATTAAAATCAGTTTATTAGCCATGTGTACTTTTAACGTTATATGAACCTATCTGAAGTATTGTCCTGCTTTATCAGTTCATTGCCTTGCAATTACCATCTTACAGTCGTACCTGTACATGTCAAGGAATTGATCCTGAGACCTGTGGAGCTTCATTCTCTTTTGGCTGTTCGTGGAGTATGTATTTTAATGGCTGCAAATTTGGTAGAAGCCCAAGCCCTAGAAGATTTAGAATTGATCCAAGTTCTCCCTTACATGTAAGTGCCCTTTTAACTTTTGAATTATACACTGAATATATATATATATATATGTATATATATGTATATGTATATATATATGTATATATATGTATATGTATATATGTATATATTTCTTTTAAATGTTTTTCATGAGTAAAAATTTTAAGTATTAAAAGTAGTGACAAAACAGTAAAAATATGTACACTTATGGAAATACATCATAATTATAAATAAAGTAGGTAAATCTATCAAGCCAAATTCCAATTTTCCCTGGCTCCCTCCTCCTTCTCCCCGAACCCCGGAGATAACTATTATTAAAAGAACATCTAGCATTTTATACCCAGCCAAAGTAGGAAGCCGTTTCACAGACTCAGAAAGTTTACTACCCACAGACCTACTATGAAAGAATTACTAAAGGACGTATTCCAGAAAGAAGATATGTGAGACCGGAAGCAATCTGTCCGGGACACGAGGCCATGGTGAGCAAAGAAATTACTCAACCTTATTGTTAAGTTTAAATAAGTTGAGTACTTACATTTTTACATTAAAAATAACAAGCTATAAGTATAATTCCATTCTCTTAACAACTCAAGTGTGCATAGTCAGTGGGAGGGGTGGGGCACCTGTAACAACTAAGTGTGGTGATGTTTTATGGTTTAGATACTGATTAACTCTAAGATCAGTGTTTTTCAAACTTTGAGCTCTAAGAGTAAAAAAAATTTTATATCACAAACCACTATACAGATATATTCAAGTAAATAATTAAAACAAAACTATTAGAAAAAAAACTTAACTTTATTATATGTAACAATGAAAATATTTTAAAATTAAAACTTAATATCCAATATAGTTCTTTCTAAGTGTCTCTACGATGCAGTAAGATTTTTGAAAAATTTCATTTATTTTTTAAATGCTAGTTGTGACCTACTAGATTGATTTAATGGCCCACTAATTAGTTATACCCACAGCTTGGAAAACACTGCTCTAGATGTCAGTAAAGCGTATTTGCATGTTTAACTTTTTTTTTTAGATGAATAAAAATAGAATTTATAGCTTTGAATTATTTGGGGTGGGTGTATTAAACAGCAAACCATCCATTATTTGGCAAAGGGAATTTACACAAAATCATTACGATACGGATAAATGGAAAAGAAAATAGCTGGTATTAATCCTATTATATCTGTAATACAATGACTATAACATCTTTCAAAAAGGCTTAGTATTTGTGTGCAGGTTGAGCAACAGGTCACAGTTTGATTCCCAGTCAGGGCACATGCCCTGGTAACGGGCTCAATCCCCAGCTTTGGGCGTGCAGGATGCAGCCGATCCATGATTCTCTCTCTTCACTGATGTTTCTATCTCTCTCTCCTTCTCACTTCCTCTCTGAAATCAAACAAGCTTGGAATTCAATGAATAATGATCTCTTGAAAGAGATAATTTATTTAGCATTTTCTATATTTCCCATCTATTGCAATGAAACAAGGAAAAGATTCAAGAGATAGAACTATAATTTGCAAATAAAGTACCATAGAAGTCTAACAAAAAGTGTATTAGACATTTGGGGAGAAAACTATTAAAAAATTAGTAAAGGGCATATAAAATACCTGATAATGGAAAGCTGCTCTGTTGTGTCAAAGATCTGACACTTAATAATGTGATATCAGTTGTCCCTTAAAATTAACCAATTGAATTTTCTTTCCAAATATTATATGATGAAACTTAGCATGTAAATATATTGATAATATTAACATGACTCAAATTTCTATTCTATCACAATAATACTGTTTTATAATTAATAAATGTAAGGTCCATTTTTGCTTATGGTTATTATTGATAATTAGTAACATTTATATAGTCCTTATAATACAAGATAACGTAGTGCTTATTCCAGGAACTGAGTGAAGGCCAGTATGAATCTCAGCAGGCAAGGGAGAGTGAAGTGCATATAATGTCCTTGGAAGCCACTTCCAAGATTTTGGAAGATCATTGAAAGGTTTTAAGAAAGAGAGTGATATAATTATTACACTTGCAATTTAAAGAATTCTCTATGGCTATCCTTTGAATAATGCATTGCAGTTGACCAAGAGTAGGTTCAGCCCTAGCCGGTTTGGCTCACTGGATAGAGCGTAGGCCTGGGGACTAAAGGGTCCCAGGTTCGATTCCAGTCAAGGGCATGTACCTTGCCAGTAGGGGGTGTGCAGGAGGCAGCTGATCTATGCTTCTCTCTCATTGATGTTTCTAATTCTTTTTTTTTTTTAAATATATTTTTATTGATTTTTTACAGAGAGGAAGGGAGAGAGATAGATAGTCAGAAACATCGATGGGAGAGAAACATCGACCAGCTGCCTCCTGCACATCTCCCACGGGGGATGTGCCCGCAACCCAGGTACATGCCCTTGACCGGAATCGAACCCGGGACCTTTCAGTCCACAGGCCGACGCTCTATCCACTGAGCCAAACCGGTTCTGGCGATGTTTCTAATTCTTGATCCTCTCCCTTCCTCTCTGTAAAAAATCAATAAAATATATTTTAAAAGAAAGAGTAGGTTCAACAAAATTAGCACGTAGCTTGAATTATGATTGTGACAGAGGAAATGGTGAGCAATGGTTGGACTGGTGAGATTTTTAAAATTAGAGGGTGGCCCTGGCCGGTTTGGTTCAGTAGATAGAGCGAAGGCCTGCAGATTAAAGGGTCCCAATTCGATTCTGGTTAGGGGCACATGCTCAGACTGCGGGCTCTATCCCCAGTGGGGGGCATGCAGGAGGCAACCAATCAATGATTGTTCTCATAATTTATCTTTCGACTCTCTCTCTCCCTCTCCCTTCCTCTCTGAAATCAATAAAAATAAAATTAGATGGTGGTTCTATTTCTTGACCAAAGGGTATGCTAAACTAGTGCCAGGTTGGTAGAGGACTGGGTAATCTCCTGTTCTGGTGGTAACATGTCATGGATGTGGATAGGATGGTTCTTGAGATCAGATATAGGGTGAGAAGAATAGAGGGATGTTGGCTTGAGCCCCAACAGGTAAATATGTGATTTAAGAGAAATCTTTATATCTGAAACACATTTATTCTAATAAAGCAATTAGAAAGTCAGGGTTTATTTGACTCCTTTCCTCCTCCCCACAACCATTTCCACTCAATAAATGAAATGACACGTTTGACTTGTGATATATTGTTAACAATATTTACTGGCAATAAAACACCCTACCCAATATTTCAAGTGTTAGAAAACAATAAAAATCTTTTTAAATAGGTATCCTATATAATAAAAGGCTAATATGCAAATCGACCAGTCACTATGACGCACACTGACCACCAGGGGACAGACACTCAACATAGGAGTTGCCTCCTGGTGGTCAGTGCACTCCTACAGGGGGAGCTCCACTCAGCCAAAAGCTGGGCTTATGGCTGGTGGCTGGTGTGCACAATGGCAGTGGCAGGAGCGCCCACCTCTGCAGCAGCGCTAAGGAGCCTCCTTTGGTGGATGTCCGCCAAGGGGTCCTGGACTGCGAGAGGGTGCAGGCCGGGCTGAGGGGCTCTCCCCTCCACTACAGTGCACAAATGTTGTGCACCGGGCCTCTAGTTTAAATAATTCTACGTTTTCCCCAAATAAAGAAAATAATTAATGCGTGTATATAGACAGGAAATGTTTTCAAGTAGGATCCTAACTTTCCTGATTCTATCTAGTAAGCTACATTAAGTAACAGATAATTAAGAGACAGATGAATGGAACAGAGTACTCTAGATATAGGCCTTATTTATTTATTTTCCAATGGAGGCATCAGCACAATTTGTTAGGAAATCAAAAGGTTATCCCTGATTTATTACAGTTGCCAAGATTGAGACTTGTTAGACACACTCAAGAATTAAAGTTCTTATGTCGACAGTACTGATATTAAAGTAGCTAGTATCATTGAATAATATGGGTCTCATTTTTAGCAACATGAGCACATTTGTAACTAACCTCTAATATTTAAATTTCTAATTAGCTTATAACATAGAATTTTAGTTTGAAAAGACTGAATGAAAGCATAACAATCACTAATTGTATACGTTCTTAATAAATAATCCATATTTTTTTCTATTGTAGCTCTTTCATCAGTGTAAGTATGAATTGTATGATATGCATCACCCTACATATCATTTCCATAATCTTAAACTCACCTTACATGATATTGTGAAATAACCTTTATGGACTGTATTTTCCTATAGGAAAAAAACCTTGAAGATAATTTACAGAGTTTGGCCACACAATTAGCTCCAATTTATAGACAGTATGCTCCGGTTGCTTACCAGAACCAGGTATGTTTGGGGACCTTATATAGTACATTTAAACATTTCTAATTTGATCTTTTTTATTGGATAGCTTTAACATTATCTAGGATTTTTTAAAAGTATTATTATTGCAATTGAATTAAAACATCATAGAATTATGATTTGTTCTCCATATGAAACTTAGAAAGCAGGAATGTGTGATTGGTTCAACACATGAAAATTAATCAATGTGCTATACCATATTGATAGAACAAAGAAAATCATGTGAAGTAAAGTCTGTGAGTAATCCAAGTCTTATATAACAAAAACATTCAACAGACTAACAGTAGAAGGGAATTGCCTCAACCTGGTAAATGACATCTATGAAAAACTCAGAGCTAACAGAATCCTATATAATAAAAGGGTAATATGCAAATTGACCCTAACAGCAGAACGACTGGGAATGACTGGTCACTATGACACACACACTGACCACCAGGGAGCAGATGCTCAATGCAGGAGCTGTCCCCTGGTGGTCAGTGTGCACCCACAGGGTGAGCTCTGCTCAGCCACAAGCCAGGCTGATGGCTGCCAGCACAGTGGTGATGGCGGGAGCCTCTCCCACCTCCTCAGCAGCACTAAGGATGTCCGACTGCAGCTTAGGTCTGCTCCCTGCTGGTAAGTGGACATCCCCCGAGGGCTGCCGGGCTGCCAGAGGGATGTCTGTCTGCCAGCTTGGGCCCGATCCCCCAGGAAGCGGACCTAAGCCAGCAGGTGGACATCCTCCAAGAGGTCCCAGACTGCAAGAGGGCATAGGCCGGGCTGAGGGACACACACACACACACCCCCCCCACTACACAAATTTATGTGCACTGGTCCTCTAGTTAATGATTAAAGACAAAAAGCTTTCTGCCTAATATCTGGGACAAGATAAAAATGTCAAATGTCACAACTTGAGTGAAACATGTTGGAGGTTCTAGTCAGGACAATTAAGCAAGTAAAAGAAATCCAAACTAAAAACAAAGGGATAAAACAATGTCTAATTACCAGTGGTATGATACGGTATCCAGAAAATAGTGAAGCATACACACACACACAGAATTAGAAATAAGTGTTAACATAACAAATCCACACCTGAAACCTTTATGTTCATGTTCATGTTGACCGATGTCACCCCAATCAATTTAATTAATTAATTTATTAAAAATAAACAATTTAAACAAAAGAACTAATAAGTGACTGCAGCAAGGTTTCTGCATACAAGATCAATATGCAAAATCATTGCATTTGTATGCACTAGCAATAGACAATTGAAAAATATAATTAAGAGAAAGTAGACCATCAGAATTTTTAAATGTTGTGCTTCAAAGGACATCAACAAGAAAACAGGGTGAGCGGAGATGGTGAGATGTTGCAGAAGGGGTACAAACTCAGCTATATGATACATAAAATCAGGGGAACTCATGCACATGTGAATTAACCAATACTATATTATATACTTAAAATTGTTAAGAGATCTTCAGTGTTACCACTCCAAACACAAAATCATTTTAATTATGTGAAGGGATTGGAATGTTAATTAAACTTATGGTCGCAGTCATTTTGCAATACATGCATGTATCTCATCATCACATTGTGCACCTTAAACTTACAGATTACATGTCAGAAATATATCAATTAAAACGGCGGAGCAGGGGGTGAGTTTAAACAAAGACAACCACAGAATGGAAGAAAATATTTATAAATCTTGTATCAGAACAGAAAATAAGTGTAAATATTTTATTATTTTAAAGACGCATCAGTCCATATTTTTTAAATCTTTATTTCATTTGTATTATGAATAACATGCTCTCTCTCTTCAATTTCAGCTTTTCGTTTACTTTTGTTAATGTACTTTCTATACTTTTTCATGAATGTATGTATATTTAATTTCATACACATTGAAAATTGCATACATGATTAAGGCACTCTATTTTTCTTTCTACGTGGCATGACTTGACTACTTAAATAAACAATAAGTGGGCATTAGTGTAGTCATCCTGCCTTTAGTCATAGCAATTACCGTTTTACCCACGTATCCTCAACCTCTTTTTCCTGAATGTCACTAGACGACACATTCAGTACAGCAGTACTGTCGCTTAGGACAGCTCTGAAATTACAAACTGTAATTAATTTAAGAACTTTGTCAGGAAGTGATTTTTACTCTTTAATGAAATTGATTCTTTCTGTCTGTTATACCGTGTCATACTTCTTTTGTTTTTTAGATACAATTTGAACATATTGCCCGAGAATGTCGGCTTGGCAACAAAGAAGGTCGTCCTTTCTCTGGGGTCACTGCTTGCGTAGACTTCTGTACCCATGCCCACAGGGACATTCACAACATGAATAATGGAAGCACTGTGGTATGGACCTTGCTCGCTTTTGATTCTAAAACCTCCATTGCTATATGCTTAGGCTAAGGCCTTATATATGACTTGTGACATCATTTTGTATGCTCTGTTGCACAATATAGTAATCAATAGTTTTAATTTAAGTTATTATTGAAGTACTGTACCTCCAAAAGAGTTGCAGAATTAGCCTTCAACATATATTTTGTTGAAACTCTTGAATTATATATTTAATGGAGGTGTGCTTGCTAGGAGGTAGGAGTCATCTAATATTCAAACCAACGATTCTGTGCTATCAATCTAGTAGTTAGAAAGTTAGGCAACTCAATTTTTTTTTTTTGTAAGAATGCACATTTGAAAAATATGTTATCATTGATTTTAGAGAATGGAAGGGAGAATAAACAGAGAAATAGCGATTGGCTGGCTTCTGCACAATCCCTACTGGGCATGTGCCTTGATCAAACTGGCCACCTCTCAATGCATGGAATTACGCTCAGCTGAGTAACACAAGCCATGTCCTTAATGTTTGCTTCTTTTTTTTTTTTTTTTTTTTGCCTTGTGTGCTTCAGTGTGTGTGTGTGTGTTTTGAGGGAACTGTGCCAAATTTCTCATCTTTTTAATGCATATAGATTGTTAATGCCAGTGTGTATAAAGTTGCATGAATATTCAAAAATCAAGAGATACTGGCTTGGGTTGTGTGGCTCGGTTGGTTGGGCCACATCCGGTGCACCAGGAGGTTGCTGGTTCTACTCCATTTCAATGCACATGCCCAGGTTGCGCCATTAATCCCTGGGCAGGAGGCAGTTTATCGATGTTGTGCTCTCACTAGATGTCTCTCTCCCCCTCTCTCTCAGAAATCAATAAACCAATCTTCTTCTTCTCCTCCTCCTCCTCCTCCTTCTTCTTTTTAGTGAAAGAAAACCCAGGAGGAAATCTTGCAATACTCCTTTTGTAAGGGAAATGGGTTTGCTTCAAGGAATTATTTTCTTCCACCTTGTAAAACAGAGATTAGTAGATAATGAATGCGTCTCTTTTTTTGTTTGTTTGTTTTGTTTTGTTTTAATATACCAATTTGTTTCCTCTGCCAGTGTAAGATACAGCTACAGGGTCTTAACAGTGTGATTTGAAAGGCACAATCTTATTCATCACTGGTCAATAGACTAGGAGCCATATTACTCCTCTGCACTGATTATTCAGTGTTTTTTCCAAATGTTGGGATTTTATAAATCTGACCAGGTGCCTAGTCAGTGTTGCTCAGCAGTTGAGTGTCAACCCATGAACCAAGAGGTCACACGTTCCATTCTCAGTCAGGGCACATGCCTGGGTTACGGGATCGATCCCCAGTAGGGATAATGCAGGAGACAGCCATTTAATGATTCTCTATTACCTTTCCTTGTCTCTATCTCTAAAATCAATAAAACAATATTTTTTAAAAATCTCTCCAGGTGACTCTTAGCCAGAGTGGGTTCATCGTCATCATTTGGCTAGTACATTTTACCTGAGTTTGCCGCATTCCAAAATATCTATCATCAAGCAGGGTTAGGTTCATGGTTAAACTAAATGCTTTTTTTTAAGTCTATTTTTTTAATTATATATTTTATTGATATCCGAGAGTAAGGAGAAGGAGAGATAGAAACATCAATGATGCCAAAACCGGTTTGGCTCAGTGGATAGAGCGTCGGCCTGCGGACTGAAAGGTCCCGGGTTTGATTCCGGTCAAGGGCATGTACGTTGGTTGCGGGCACACCCCCAGTGGGAGATGTGCAGGAGGCAGCTGGTTGATGTTTCTCTCTCATTGATGTTTCTAACTCTCTATCCCTCTCTCTTCCTCTCTGTAAAAAATCAATAAAATATATTAAAAAAAAAAAAAAAGAAACATCAATGATGCGAGAGAATCATTGATTGGCTGCCTCCTGCATATCCCCCACTGGGGATTGAGCCCACAACCCAGGTATGTGCCCTTGACTGGATTGGAACCTGGGACCCTTCTGTCCACAGGCCGACGCTCTATCCACTGTTCATGCTCATTCTTTTGCACTGCTGTTGTTATTCATTCCATGAGGCTCGTGCCTAGTTCTTGGCATAATTACAAATTTCCCCATCATAAAATACTTGAACCCTTGGAATTCTACTGTCAAATTTTCTTCTACCCTGTCTGTTTCTTATTATATTTCTCATGTTTAGTCCTTGTCCCCTTCTTAGTCTCTCTACGGACAAATAAATAGATTGACATAAACATTTACTAGTAAAATATTTGATTTTTTAACAGAATGTTTCTACGTTACTAAATTTTAAAATATTGAAATCAAGAGAGTTCAGTATTTCAAGCCTTGCGAGTAAATTTGACTAGAGATATTGAGAAAATAGTAAGATTTTAAAAACTTTTAGTCTGCCTGACTTTATCATCTGTTTCTATCAACCTTGGAAATCAAATGTTGGAAACAATTGTATATACTTTTAATGGATCTTTAATGACATTTGAAAATTAAAGTAGTTTATGAAGAAGAATTAAGTATCAAAAGTTAGGAATTTTCTGTATATAGTTCTGTATTTTTACTTCTCTACAATTTATAAAAACAATGTAAGGAAAAGACCTGATAGATAGGTTATATACCAGACAGAATTTTCTTAAGATGTCCTATTTATCATTCAAACAAAGACAGCCCTGGCCATTTTTCTCAGTGGTTAGAGCCCTGGTCTGCACACAGAAGGATCATGGGTTCTGTTCCCAGTCAAGGGCAGGTACCTTAGTTGCAGGTTTCCCATCCCTCTTTTGTCTCTCCCCGCACTCCCCTTCCTCTGTCCCTTCCACTCTCTAGAAATCAATGTGAAAGAAAATCTTTGGGTCAGGGTTATAGAAACAACACAAGTCAGGCAAATTATGATAGAAACAAAATGGAGCAGAAAGAGAAAATTTATCAAGATACAGTACTTCAGTTATTTTTTAAAAAACAAGTAAAATATATGTCTTGCTAGAAAAGGAAATCTCTTGTGCTTCCTCTTTTGTTTTATGAATATCTGTCAATTTATTTAGTGAAGGCAGAAAAGATACTTATAAATTCCACCTAACAAACAGAAACGAAAAAGTCCTAAAGAAAAACACAGCAAATTAGAAAATTTATTATAATTAAGCTTCCTCTACCTGAAGGATTTTAACATTACTTTTTTTTTTTTTTTTTTTTTTTTTTTTTTTTTTTAAACATATTTTTTGAGTTAGAAGTAATTTGAAAATTCTTTTTTTTTTTTTTAAATATATTTTATTGATTTTCCACAGAGAGGAAAGGAGAGAGATAGAGAGTTAGAAACATTGATGAGAGAGAAACATCGATCAGCTGCCTCCTGCACATCTCCCATTGGGGATGTGCCCGCAACCCAGGTACATGCCCTTGACCGGAATCGAACCTGGGACCTTTCAGTCTGCAGGCCGACGCTCTATCCACTGAGCCAAACCGGTTTCGGCGGATTTTAACATTACTTAAATATTAGAATTAAGATTATGTATTGGCTATAAAATAGTAATTTCTTAATAGTTAATATTTAATATGAAGGCAGTGAACAACAATTCATAACTGCTCTTTAATACAGGCAATTAAGATGTCATGTAACAGCTAAAAGGCTTCATATTTAAAATATTGTAAAATATATAAACATGCAATATCATTTACTTATAAAGTCAACTGAAAATTATAATGGCCTGCTTACAAACAATTGATAAGTTTATAGAATTTAATGGTGTTGGGTCACTTAATATATAAGCCATTTATCCAAAATTAAAATACCAGTAGTAACCAATTGAACATAAAATTTGAATACAGATCCCTTGCATTATGGCAACGAGATGGTAGGAATAACTATGATGAATGTGCAGGACCTACATTTTCCATTTTTTCTTCCTATCAGGTTTGTACCTTAACACGAGAAGATAACCGCTCATTTGGTATCATTCCTCAAGATGAGCAGCTGCACGTTCTACCCCTTTATAAATTATCAGACACAGATGAGTTTGGCTCAAGGGAAGGAATGGAAGCTAAGATCAGATCTGGGGCCATTGATGTCCTCACACCGTGTCGCAAAAAAAGAACATGTTTTACTCAGCCCATTCCTCGTTGTGGGAAGAAAAGAGCAGCGATGATGACAGAAGTCTTCACGCGTAAGATAAAGGCTGTGGAGAAGAAACTCATTCCTCGAATCAAGCGGAAGAATAACTCGACAATGCACAACAGTAAGGCTTCGTCCCTGTCGCCTTTAGGTGAGGCCTCGGACCGTGCTAGTTTTCAGTGTATAAGTTTCCTTTGCACTGTATTCTTCCTCTCCTTTATCTTTGCTACTCTTAGTAATGGGCATTTATGTCAGATATCAGTCAATTAAGTTAGCTAACTGTTTTATCTCTTTTTTAAAAAATATTTTTTTGTTGATTTCAGAGAGTTAGGAAGAAGGAGAGAGAGATAGAAACATCAATGTCTTGAGAGTATAGTTGATCTGCTGCTTCCTGTACACCCCCTATTGGGGATGGAGCCGACAACCCAGGCACATGCCCCTGACCAGAATGGAACCCGGGACCCTTTAGTCCCCAGGCTAACGCTGTATCCACTGAGCCAAACCAGTTAGGGCTCAATTCTTTTTAATATAACTTCATTAGAGTTCAAACTATATATATGACACCAAATATATTTCTACATACTTATCCACACCAAAAATCAACAAAAAAATGCCCCATCTCTATTTTTTTCAAAAACATCTTCTTTTTTTTTTTTTAATTCTCATCCAAGGATTAGGGAGAGAAAGGTAGGGGAAGAGAGATTGAGATGAAACATCTATCATGCCCTGACCAGAGATCAAAACCGGCCACCTAGGTATGCGCCCGGACTGGGAATCAAACCCAAAACCGTTTGGTGTACAGGAAGATGCTCCAGCCAATTGAGCCACCCAGAAAGGGCAACCTGTTCTTTTTTTGTTCCCCATCTATTTTGAAGCCCTCATCCTCCTTTTTGGCATACATGAAATGGCATTACTTCCTCCAAATCTTCCTTGATCAATTTAATTATCCTACTCCACTAGTTTTACTGAGCACCACTCGGAAGCATCTTAGGTCTTGGAAATGTAGCCATGGCAATGAGGACAGATAGTGCTGTAAAAGAATTACATTTAAATACATCACAAAGATTCACTAAGAGTAAGGCATTTCTGTGAAGTCCTGAAGGAAATGAGAATCTGCAGTGCTTTTATTTGGAGAAATAGCATTCCAGGCAGAAGAAATGGCAAAGGCAGGAAGCTGGAATTTCCCTTGAATACCTGATGCTAGCAAGGAGGCCACTGTGGTTGGAGCAAGTGTGCAATGCAAACAGTTGGAGATCAAATTGGAGAGGTAAGAGGGAATCCAAGCATCTCAGGTTTTGTTGATTGCTGTAAAGACTTTGGTCTTTATTGTGAATGAGAAGAAGTTTACTGGAGATTTCAGTATAGAAAAGGGATCTGATGTCACTCAAACCTAACATTCTGGTTACTAGGTTAAAACTAGAGTAAAGTGGGGCAGCGAATAGAAAAGTAGGGTCATCCTAAATGCCCATCCTAACAATTCAGGAGAGAGACCAGAGTGGCTAAAGAGGACATAAGGATATATCTAATTCCGGATATGGTTTGAAGATTAAATTTGGCATGTGTCCCCCAAAAAGTGTCAAGGTTTACCCTGATGTTATTGGCCTGAAGAAACGAAGTGTGGAGAAACCAACCAACATGTAACGAGGAATGGGGAGAGGAGAACAGGATTGGAAAGATAAACAGGAAGACCAGAAGCTCACTTCTGTTTGACTTTCGAGCCTCAGTGATGGAGTATGAACCAGGAGGTTACTGTTCGATTCCCAGTCCCGGCATATGCCTGGGTTTCGGCCTGAATCCCCAGCAGGGGCCATGCTGGAGGCCGCTGCTCAATGATTTTCTCTCATCATTGATGTTTCTATCTCTCTCCCTCCCTCTCTGAAATCAATCAATCAATCAATCAATATATATATATATATATATTTTTTTAAGTACTCTTTAATGAAAACAACTATAAAAAGCATTTTGTACTTATCTTCACATTTGGTGTCCTTTTCTCTGTTTAGGGAATAAAACTGAGACCTTACAACCTGAAATAAAAAGTGAAACTGAGCCCTACCTGGTTTGGCTCAGTGGATAGAGTGTCGGCCTGCGGACTGAAGGGTCCCGGGTTTGATTCTGATCAGGGGCACATGCCTGGGTTTCAGGGTCAATCCCAGGTAGGGAGCGTGCAGGAGGCAGCCGCTCAATATTTCTCCCTCATTGATCTTTCTATCTCTCCCTTCCTCTCTGAAATCAATCTAAAAAAAAAAAAAGAAAGAAAGGTGAAACTGAACCCAATTTTATCTTCAAAGGTTCGGACAACATTCAAATGTACTCACTGATCCCATCCATTCCTCACCCAGTGAAAGAGGCACATTTATCCCGAGACTTCTCGTCCGCCAACAATGCTTCGACCTCAACATCTTTTAAGAACGATGCCTCGGTTTCGTGCGGGTTTCCAGAAAGAAGTAGTGATCCCGACTGCACGATGCCTTCTGGGAGACAGAGTGATGCTCATGGTGCTGCTGGGGAATGCGCTGGAATCGCACAGCCTGGTGAAGTGAGTCCTCTTCCCACTTGGCCTACTCCCATGTCCGATTCCCTGGTTGGTTCTGAGCCTCCCGCTGGTCCATCTGAGCAGATACCTTCTAATGAGCCAAACCAGCAGCCCCCACTCATCACCTCTGCTCCTGAACTTGCTTCCTCTCTGATGGAAGATGAGCAGCATTCGGAAGCAGATGAGCCTCCATCAGATGACCCCTTATCCGATGACCCCCTGTCACCCACTGAGGCGAAATTGCCCCACATTGAAGAGTATTGGTCAGATAGTGAGCACATCTTTTTGGATGCCAGTGTTGGTGGGGTGGCCATAGCACCCGCTCATGGCTCTGTTTTAATTGAGTGTGCCCGGCGAGAGCTTCATGCTACAACCCCCGTCCAACATCCAAATAGGAACCATCCTACACGTCTCTCTCTTGTCTTCTACCAGCACAAAAACCTAAATAGGCCCCACCATGGTTTTGAAATAAACAAGATTAAGTACGAGGCTAAAGAACCTAAGAATAAGAAAATTAAGGTCTCAGAGCAGAGAGATCAGGCAGCTAATGAGGGTCCTGAGCTGTCCCCTGAAGCTAATGAATTGAACCAAATTCCTTCTCGTCAGGCATTAACATTAACCCATGACAATGTTGTCACCGTGGCCCCTTATGCTCTCACACACGTTGCAGGGCCCTATAACCATTGGGCATGAAGGCTGTTCTCCCCTTTTTAATGCCTTTGCTAGTGCAGTGTATTTTCCAAGGTGCTGTTAAAGGAAAGTCATATTGTTGTTTACTAGATAGATCTTCATCTCACCCATTTGAAGGCTGAAGTAAAACAAGCAAATGCAGTAGGGTGGGTATTTCTTAACTGTGACTATATATTTTGACAATTGATAGAAGGTGCACATTTTAAGCAAAATTAAAAAGTTTTATAGTTTTAAATACATACAGAAATGTTTTGGTTAGGTGTAAACCTTGAGAGAATCACTCAGTTTGGTGCTTTAAATAAGTCTGTTTACTATGAAACGAGTAATTTTTAGAGGCTTTTAACTGATAATGTGCTATGATGTAAAATCAAGATACACAGTGTTAACTCTACACAGCTCCTGGTGCTTAACCACATCGACACAGTTAATTATAAGCTGAATTATTATTTCATGGTGCCATTGTTTCAACATCTTCCAATCATTGCTAGAAAATAGGCATATTCCTTTGAAATAAACCAATGAAAAGTTTTCTCTCTTAAGGTGTCTCTCCTGTATAAAATAATTCATTATTATTAGTAATGGTTGGACGCTGTTCATAAATTGTAAATATATATTTTAAAAGCACTTTCTATTTTTAAAATTAACTTGAAATAGTATAGTATAAGAATCCAATTGTCTATTGTTTGTGCATATTTGCATACAAGAGAAATCATTCTTGCTGTGTAGAGTTCCATCTTATTAACTGCAATATGTATTCATACATGTGTATGGTTTGTGTTTTTTTAATGTGTTCTTTCTCATTCAAATATTAGCTACTTATAAAATCAATCATGCAAAAATTGTTAATTATCTCAAATTGGAATTTGAAAGATTATCACCAACATTGATTAATATTTTCTTGGGAACTAAGTAAGTGTGAACGCTTATTGAGCAACATTGACCCCAATTTACTTTCACTGTAACTTTCTCAATATAATCCATGAAAGGTGTTTCCGAAAGGAGATTTGACATAATAGGATTCAGAAGAGTCAAATGCTTCTAAAGTTTCAAGGTAATAAAATACAAAAATTAAGTAGTAAGAACCCTAACCATCCCAAATTGCCTTATTCTGAAAGTCGTTCCAGTAGAGACTAAAATTTTAGTAGAAATATTTTGAAAACAAATTCCTTATCATTGCACATGCAAAACAAATAGTAGGAATGATATAAATAAGTTAGTCCAAAGTAGTTTAAACATATTAGTTTTGGGAAAATGATAACTCTTCTGAGATAATTGCCTATGATCTAGGTAACAGGAAAATAGGCATTCTATTTCGTTTTTAGTCCTCCTATTATTTCTTCTATTACGTTTTCCGGTTCATAGCAAAACAAAAGAGATTGCCCAAACCAAATTTTATCTCAAGAAGAAATTTCAATGAAATACTTGATTCTGTTAAAATGCAGAGGTGCTATAACATTCAAAGTCTCAGATTCCTTGGGAGTATGGAAAACCTAATGGTGCTTCTCCCCTGGAAATGCCATAGGAAGCCCATAACCGCTAACACTCACAATTTTGGTGCAAAAGCAAACAATTCCAGTAAGCTCTCTAAATAAAATTAATCATAAATTATTAAAATAATATATGGTGCAAAGTATCCGTTTCAAGCTTTTGACTAATCAAAGTAAAGGAATATGAAGGGATTGTAAATAGCAAAATGTCATTGATAGACCATCTTGTACATGTAGATTTCTGCTTTTGAATAGGTAAAATAGGGTAATTCATTAACTTGTTTTAGTATTTTGTGTGCCTTAGATTTCTGTTGTAAAACATGTATATTTTTGTGAGCCTCTGGTTTCTTATACATTTAAGTATATAAATAAGTGATTGTTTATTGTTTCAGCTGCTTAAATAAGATATTTACTAGTAGTAGACCATCAGGAATATACCCTTGTAATATTTTATTTTAGGCCTTAGCTCTCACTACAAGTTATTTTCTCACCAGATTTAATGGATAAAACTTAAAGATCCTTTATCCATCCACCCATCTATCCATTCAACACTTATTGAATGTCTGCAAAATTTAAGTAATAGCTTTTGTTTTCTTTGAATCACCACCCATGACAGTAAACTTGAAGAATTAAAATCCTAGAAGATACTCTAACACACATTTTTCAAAAAAAAAAAAAAGTAAGCACATTTCCTTCAAAACAGACCATTGTGATATATGTACAGCAATTCAGATCAGTGTCACTAAGTGAAAGTAAGTTTCCTTAACAATATAAACTTGAGCCACGCGTGTTGATTTAGGGGGAGTATTGAGATTTTTTGAAATTAGTTGCAGTTTACCAAAACAAGTACATGAAAATATCCAGTCTTCGCTAAAAATGTCTCCATTCAGTTATAATTAACACCTGCTGAACCCCATGATGGGAACCACACATGATTCCTGCATTATAGAACTCTTTCATAAGTTTGCCATCCCATTGTATGCCCTGTAATTTTTTAAAAGCTCATGCTTAAATGTTATGCAGCATTGTGATTGTATACTGGCTACACTGCTGTTAGAATGCTCTTTTTCATGAAGCAAGGAAATAAATTTATTTGAAATGACATTTTCACTCAGAAAACTGGTTATCTAATATTTCTATACCTCAATTATATTTTACTGTAATGGATCACTTTTGTTTTACCCTTTTTTTTTAGCAATCAATCTTCTGCCTTTGGGTTTTCAAACTTCTGCCTTTGTTCATGGTGTGATAATTGAATTCATTGATGCATGCCTCCCAAGTTAGCCCAACCTGTTCATAATATGTTACAAACTTAACTATGATGGGAGAATAACTCCTGTCTAGTGTAGAATCCTACAAAATATGCTACCCTTCAAATCCTATTTCTAATGCCTCGTAGGCTATCATTGAAAACATTTTTTCTTGTTAGCTTCATCTACATCCTCTTTCCAATTCATCCACACTAAGTACCAAATATATCATGACGAAGACCTGTTTGAAATATATCAGCGATTTTCCACCTTTGTGCTACAAGAATTAAATTATACCCTTTTGTGGTGTGTTTTGTTTTTGTTTTTGTCAGATTGGCGAAAGATAATATATTTTTTGATGTGCTGCAGAATTTTAGTAATTAGTTTATTTGTGCCATAAGATAAAAATGGTTGGAAATCGCTGAAATCTATTATTATTATTATTATTATTATTGAAAGTGGAGCCTAACAGAATGTATAGCTGTAGGTTAATTTTTGCAACATATTAGCAAAATGTTTGCATCTTAAATAACCTTCCAACATCTTTATGAAATCTGCATGTGGATGAAATAATTTCATTTGTTAAATATAGAATTTTACTAGATTAGAACTATAAGCAATTTGCTTAAGACATAACCCCAATGCATACTTAATTGAATGCATACTCTTGTAAATGAGATATTGACTTTATTCATATCAAGTATCCTACTTTCTAATGTTATTACTTCATAGATTCCTACCCATTATCATTTATTTCACAATAGCACGTATGGAAAATAACCTCACACTATTTAAGTTTAGTCTTTTTAATACATATTGAAATCTTTTATCTGGGACAATGTTTTGACATTGCATGACAACTTCCACCAATAGCAGGCACAGCATTTCTTTTGAATATGACAAAGTAGCTGTATGTGACCTTTAATATATAGCTACTTTCTATTTCACAAGTTTTTTGATGCATGGGAATCTTTTTGTCTAGTTTTAGTACAATTGTGAGTTTTTATCTTTTGTAAGAATTAATGGCAAGAATTGTGACATAAGCTAATTTAACAGTGGTGCCTCACAGCCCTGGAAGACACCTTAGAAGTCATAGAATTCAATCACTGGAGCCCAGAGAGCAGATTTTAATGTCAGTGTGAAATTATTTTTGTAATTATAATTTAAAGAATCAAATGAAGGTTAGGATGACTGTATGAAAATAAACATGATTTGATCGCCCATATGGTATTTTATCAATGGGAATTAACCTTATTTTTGTACAAGTCAAAAATAAAATGGCTTTGGGTTGGTTTTTTTCTGAGAGGTTCAGGGATAGAAGTGATATTGGATCAAGATTTCCCTGCCTTCAGAGTCTCTTGGACCTTGATGGGAAATTTAGCTGACTTTTACCTATTAAGCTATCCTGTTAACACATCCTATAAAGTGTGGCAATAGTCTTGTCTGCTATTTCAATAAATATCGAGTACTTAACACAGTACAGGTTTTTATTCCCCCTGGAACAAGTGTTAGGCATTTATAAGAAGTTAAAAGATTGAATGGTTAAAGTAATTGGGGGAAGTATATATTTCTATTGTATATACTATTTAACCATAGTTGTACATACACTATGTATATGTCTTGCCTAGTTGGCCCCACAATTAAGTCCCAGCATAGGTTATTTTAATGTGGCTGTCTACATATTAGAATACTGTCTTATTGTCCACAGCTACTAAACTTGCCCATAAGTATATTTACTTGTAACTTCAACGTCAATAGTATGGCACCCTTAACCAAGTGGTAAAAATCAGTGCTCTGATTCCTAAGAGTCTGGATTTATCTAAATCAAATTATGCTCCATGTTGTGCTTTCGTCTAGTAGGTTTAGGAAATGATGCCATCCATTGCTCTGGCATGCAATTCAGAAAGAATCAATATGAACTTTATCAGAAGCTGAATATCTGTGTTTTCTTATCATGTAATGAGATTAATTGACATCTTTTGCTTTTCTCTTGTGTATAAAATAGAAACTAATTTCCTCTGTTAATTTTGGACTTGGTGAAAATGGCCTGTATCCAGGACCTCGCCCTTTTTGTCCACATTGAACTCTACAAACTTTAATTCTCGGCATTCTAGTACCTGAATGAGGTTTTCTTAGTCCCTGCTTCTTATGGGTACCCAATCAAATACCAGTGTTTGTTTCAAAAGGCATGTGTCTTATTCCTTCAGGTAATCCAAAGGCATTACTTACTTTCCCCTAATTTTCACTGCCTTGAGGGTCCCGCAATATATTTCTCTTG